GAGCAAGGTCGAATTTACTGTATTTAAACTTCAATCTTCCATTAATCTCTCACGTACATTCATATCTGCTCATAGCGTATCATAATAAAATAAATTGTCGGACTTTGTCCATTTCATAATATATATATATATATATATATATATATATATATATATATATATATATATATATATATATATATATATATATGTATGTATGTATATCTTCCATACAAACATAAACAGACTATCATTATTGATTTTTCCGTGTATTGTTTAATATATTGTACTGTAATTGTCATCTTTGATGATGGCTTATGTAAGCCGAAAGCTTAGACAGAATTAAAAAACATGTGTCAATATTGTGGATCATGTGTGACGTCATAAGCCGCGGTGCGATTTTCGATTCCAGCTTCTCCTATGCACGAGTTTGTCGTTGCATGGAAATCTTCAATGACAACAAAAACAGACTATCATTATTTTCATGTCCCTGTATTGTTCAATATATACACATATATACCTACCTGTAACCTCGTGTAACGGCATTCACCCGAGCTGGGATGAGCCGGCACCAACATTGGAGTTTCATGGGAATTTGGAATTCACAAGCAGTCCCCAACCCGCATGTATAGCATATGAGATCTGATTATAGTGGTGATCCTTCGCAGGTTTTGAATTCAGAGTTTTCCTTCTCCTAGACCAGTTGCCATCCAAGGCTATAGAACCCAGTCTGTCCTGCTATTTACCCATAGCTGGAGGGAGAAGAAAAGGATTCACACCTTTCCCAAGGGTATTAGAACGTAAGTGAATGTAAATGTTCGAGTGGAATTCGAACTCGGCTCTCCAATTCCTCAATCCAAGTCGCTATCCATTACTTCTTTTTTCCATCAGTAGGTTGCCATTTCTTTCTGCGGTAGACCAGTTGTCATCCAAGGCTATAGAACCCAGTCTGTCCTGCTATTTAGCTGGGGGGAGAAGAAAAGGATTCATACTTTTGCCAAGGGTATTAGCACGTAAGTGAATGTAATGGATTCGACTGAATTCGTACTCGGCTCTCGATTCCTCAATCATATATATATATATATATATATATATATATATATATATATATATATATATATATATATATATATAAAGACTATTGATATGTGTCAAAAGGTTGTCAATGGGTAAAATGCCAATTAGTTATTACTCTCTGGGCTGATCTTATTTCGTATCAACTCCTTTTTTGTACAGTCAGGTTAATCCTGTACGAGGCATGGGGAGGTACTCGAGTTAATGGGTTACGTTATAGGTTAGTTTATATGGATAGAAGGTTAACCCTAACCTTGAACAGGTTAAGATTGTAGTGATCACGGAATCATGCCCTTGGGAGTCGATTCCACGGAGCAGTGTTTCGCGGGAAGAAGCTGTTTGAGTGGAAATGACTTCTCGCCGATGGAATACGGGGGAAATGTGGGTGATTTGATATTATGTAAGTTTGATTCTATGCATTTATTAATTTAAATTTTAAGTTAATTTGGGGATGTGATGAAAATATTGGTATTTCATTAAATAAATAGTGTATATTGGTTTATGTTTTTTTATGTATTTTTATTTTTTACGGTACGTCTCACCTTTTACAAGACGCCGGGGCCACGGGTGAGAGGGTTAATCTAGAAGGCAATTTTTGCGGATAAGAGGGAAGGAGATAAAGATTAACCCCAGCCTTGAACAGATTAAAATTGTGGATGTGAAGATTACCTATAGAAAACCAAGGAATGTAGTTTATCTGAGCATTTTCCATGATAGTAGCAATAGAGCAGCGAGAGACTCGCTATATCCTACCTGTGTGAGAAAGAGGGTGGATGGTGGAAAAAGCTTCAAGTTTGGGGCCAGCAGTAAAATTTGATTTCACTATTCAGTCATAACAATCTGCAACACCAGCTTGGGAGCCATTACTTTATAGGCAGGTTTTTCCTCCTAGTGTGGAATACAAATAAGTATTAAACTCTCAGCATTAGCAAATGGGTCTACAGAAACAACTTGCTTACAAATGTACCACGATAGATATGCACACACACACACATTTTATAGCTAGAATTTTTTAAATTTTTTTACAGTAAGGTTCACTCTGGGGGCCACTCAAGGTAAAGGATTACGTTAAGCAATAGTTTATATGGGTAGGAAGGGAAGATAACAGTTAACTCTATCCTTGAACAGGTTAAGATTGTAGTGATCAGGGAAACTCCTCTTGCGAGTCTGTTACACAGGGCAGTGGTTCTCAGGAAGAGAGCTGTTTGAGTGGAACTTACTTTTTGCTGTTGGAATGTGGGTGATTTGCTACTATGTAAGTGGCATGGTGGGTCCTAGCTGTGAAGGTTACACCTAGCAGAACCAAGGAATGTAGTTTATCTGAGCACTTTCCATGGTAGTAGCAATAGAGCAGTGAGAGACTCGCTATATCCTACCTGTGAGGGGGTGGAAAATAATTCTTTTCAATCAAGGACTCAGAGATGCTTTTGAAATCTATCAAGACTCAAAAGTGAGGACTGGGAAGCTGACTCCCAAATATGACAACAGTACTCAATTTTCAACCTGGTTTGACTCTTCTAAAGCATGAGGAGTCAGGTACTTACTGAAGCGGTATAGGGAGTCGATCATTTTACCTGCATCTTTAGCGATGAATTGTATATTGAGGTCAGGTTTGAGTTTGAGGCCGAATATTCTCTCAAGGAATTGAGCCTCCTCTCGCGGGCATCTGTCTATCATGACTGGTGATAGTCTGGGGTCTGACTAATGGTGCAAGGTCATAATGGAAGAGGTCTTGTTGCGACCTAAACTCACTGCAGTGTTAATCATCTTCAAGTTTAGCTGGTTAAACATTACACTACTGTAAGCACTCAAAAAGGATAGTTGTATATCTGTACTTATCTCCACCTATGAGCTGATGTCATGTGATATTTCTTGATATTATTGCATAGAAATATGGCTGAATTGAAATGCCTGTTATAGAGAGGAAGAAACAAATAAACATCTATATATACGTGCATATTTAGCGAGCATATTTTCATTCAAGCATAAACTTAAAATTCTGGAAGCCCTTTATATAAGAGAATTGTGGCCAAAAATAAATCGAGTCAACTATGTAAAGCAGTAAAGTGTTTTATAGAAAATACTAAATGAAAATACTACCTTTTTTGTTTTTTTTAACGTTTCATTCATACTAATTTAAAAAAAAAAGACATGACTCAAATCCATGACGTTAAAAAGCAAATTTACTGATCATTTTAACTGCATCTTTAGCGATGGATCGTATTTAAGAGTCACACTTCAGGTTGGGTTTGAATTTGAGGCCCAATATTCTCTCAAGGTATGGAGCCTCTTGGAGGAGACCTGTCAATTATGACTGGTGATAGTTTGGGGTCTGCCCGGTGGTGCAAGTTCATAATGCCAATGGTTTGCTATTTAAGTGGCATTGCGAGTCCTAGCTATCAAGATCAGAACTGGTGGAACTAGAAGATGCTGAGCACTTCCCATGGTAGTAGCAACAAAGCAGTGAGAGACACGCTATATCCCGCCATTGACAGAGAGGCTGGAGGTTGGAAAAAAATTCTTCTCTCACAAGGGCTCGAAGACGCTTTTGAACTCTATCAAGACTGGAAAGTGAGGACTGGTCAGCTGGCGCCCAAAGATGGCAGGACTCCGCCCAATAACACCACCGGTGGTATCTTATTAACCTTTCTCTACAATGACTAAGGCAGTACAGGTTTATGTGGGTCGTGTGCCACATTTTTATGGCTGTTTTGTCCTGTCAGAACACGTGTTTACCGAGCAGTCTATTTCTATATTTTGGCATCTCTTCGAAACTTTCAGATTGGTGCAAAAATAACTTTAATTGTCTTAAAAGACTTGTCAGAGAATTATTCTAAATGATGTTTTGGAATGAATAACAGCGCGTCAAAATTTGACAGGATCAATCAATAAGAATAATCGGCGACATTTGTTTGATTTGAACCCCGACTGATATAATTGCAATTGTGATGACAAAATTGTTTGGAATTTTATGGCTAAGCACTTAACGCAGGTGCTTCTTGCATGATAGATAGATAGATAGATAGATAGATAGATAGATAGATAGATAGATAAATAATGAACAGTCATAGAAAGAAAGAAATAAAGAGAGGGAGATAATGTACAGTCATAGATAGATAGATAGATAGATAGATAATGTACAGTGAGAGATAGATAAATAGATAAAGAGAGATAATTTACAGTCATAGATAGATAGATAAATAGAGATAGATAGATAGATAGATAGATAGATAGATAGATAGATAGATAGATAATGTACAGTCATAGATAGATAGATAATGTACAGTCATAGATAGATAGATAGATAATGTACATCACAGAGAGAGATAGATAAAGAGAGATAATGTACAGTCATAGATAGATAGATAGATAGATAGATAGACAGTCATAGATAGATAGATAGATAGATAATGTACATCAGAGAGAGAGAGAGAGATAAAGAGAGATAATGTACAGTCATAGATAGATAGATAGATAGATAGATAGATAGATAGATAGATAGATAGATAATGTACATCAGAGAGAGAGTTAGATAAAGAGAGATAATGTACAGTCATAGATAGATAGATAGATAGATAGATAGATAGATAGATAGATATACAGTCATAGATAGATAGATAGATATATAGATAGATAATGTACATCAGAGAGAGAGAGAGAGTTAGATAAAGACAGATAATGTACAGTCATAGATAGATAGATAGATAGATAGATAATGTACATCAGAGAGAGAGTTAGATAAAGAGAGATAATGTACAGTCATAGATAGATAGATAGATAGATAGATAGATAGATAGATAGATAGATAGATAGATAGATAATGTACATCAGAGAGAGAGAGAGAGAGTTAGATAAAGACAGATAATGTACAGTCATAGATAGATAGATAGATAGATAATGTACATCAGAGAGAGAGAGAGAGTTAGATAAAGAGAGATAATGTACAGTCATAGATAGATAGATAGATAGATAGATAGATAGATAATGTACATCAGAGAGAGAGAGAGAGAGTTAGATAAAGAGAGATAATGTACAGTCATAGATAGATAGATAGATAGATAGATAGATAATGTATAATTTTCTCTGAATAGGAGAAGGCACGGATCGAAACTAAGTCTTCTGTAAAAAATACGTTCGTCCAACTGTGCCAAATAAAAATAAAAGAATTCTATGTGTCATGAAACTACAGAGCCTCAATTCCGTATATGGTTCAGCTGACGGCAAAGTTTCGTTACTCTAACGCCATCAAGAACTGATACATCATCGAAAAAAGCTACGTGTTATCAGCAGAAAGTAAAAAACTAAAAAAAAGTTGATTGTCGACGATAAGGAATTGTATACTTTATATTAGATTAAGAAATATCAAATTGTTTAATGACGAAAAATTCGAATGATTCGCGTGCGGATGTGATGTAAAATGATACGAATGTCGAAATACAAGAAAAGACAATTATAAAATGATGCTATCGCCCTCCAAATGTTCAGTTGCAGAATTTACAAATATTTAAGAGAAACAGTTCAAATCTTGGCATAAAAGAATATTTACAATGGTAAAGATAAACGGAAGTAGTTCGATGAGACGTTTAAGCCGAAATGGGTCCCCGAAAATTGTTCATTGGCAATTCCAGTACGGTTATCAAAAAATAATGTCTTTAATTTTTATTTTTAAGAGTAAATTTTTTAATCTTATTTCTCTTGCTTTTCCAGCAAGTACTAAGAGTCTGAAGTTGTCTGAATTTCTTAAATGAAGCCTTCGCAATTATTATTCATTTTTGACTAGTATTTCTTCATCTTATTTCTCTTGCTTTTCCACCAAGTAATAATAGTCTTAAGTTGTCTGAATTTCTTAGATGAAGCCTTGGCAATTATTATTTATTTTTTACTAGTATTTCTTTCATCTTATTTCTCTTCCTTTTCAATCAAGTAGTAATAGTCTTAATTTGTCTGAATTTCTTAGATGAAGCCTTGGCAATTATTATTCATTTTTGACTTGTATTTCTTCATCTTATTTCTCTTGCTTTTCCACCAAGTAATAATAGTCTTAAGTTGTCTGAATTTCTTAGATCAAGCCTTGACAATTATTATTAATTTTTCATTAGTATTTCTTTCATCTAATTTCTCTTGCTTTTCCACCAAGTAGTAATAGTCTTAAGTTGTCTGAATTACTTAGATGAAGCCTGGGAAATTATTATTCATTTTTTATTAGTATTTCTTTCATCTTATTTCTCTTGCTTTTCCACCCAGTAGTAATACTCTTAAGTTGGGTGAATTTCTTAGATGAAGCCTGGGAAATTATTATTCATTATTTACTAGTATTTCTTTCATCTTTTTTCTCTTGCTTTTCCACGAAGTACTAATAGACTTGAGTTGTCTGAATTTCCTCTATGAAGCCTGGGAAATTATTATTCATTTTTGACTAGTATTTCTTTCATCTTATTTCTCTTGCTTTTTCACCAAGTATTAATCGTCTTAAGTTGTCTGAATTTCTTAGATGAAGCCTGAGAAGGTATTATTCATTTTTGACTAGTATTTCTTTCATCTTATTTCTCTTGCTTTTCCACCAAGTAGTAATAGTCTTCAGTTGTCTGAATTTTTTATATGAAGCCTGGGAAATTATTATTCATTTTTTATTAGTGTTTCTTTCATCGTCTTTCTCTTGCATTTCCACCAAGTAGTAATTCTCTTGAGTAGACTGAATTTCTTATATGAAGCCTGGGAAATTTTTATTCATTTTTGACTAGTGATTTTTCATCTTATTTCTCTTGCTTTTCCACCAAGTAATAATAGTCTAAAGTTGTGTGAATTTTTTATATGAAGCCTGGGAAATTATTATTAATTTTTGACGAATATTTCTTTCATATTATTTCTCTTGCTTTTCCACCAAATAGAAATAATCTTAAATTGTCTGAATTTCTTAGATGAAGCCTTGGCAATTATTATTCATTTTTGACTAGTATTTCTTCATCTTATTTCTCTTGCTTTTCCACCAAGTAATAATAGTCTTAAGTTGTCTGAATTTCTTAGATCAAGCCTTGACAATTATTATTAATTTTTCACTAGTATTTCTTCATCTTATTTCTCTTGCTTTTCCATCAAGTAGTAATAGTCAAGTTGCCTGAATTTCTTAGATGAAGCCTTGGAAATGATTATTCATTTTTCATTAGTATTTCTTTCATCTAATTTCTCTTGCTTTTCCACCAAGTAGTAATAGTCTTAAGTTGTCTGAATTTCTTAGATGAAGCCTGGGAAATTATTATTCATTTTTTATTAGTATTTCTTTCATCTTATTTCTCTTGCTTTTCCACCCAGTAGTAATACTCTTAAGTTGGGTGAATTTCTTAGATGAAGCCTGGGAAATTATTTTTCATTATTTACTAGTATTTCTTTCATCTTTTTTCTCTTGCTTTTCCACGAAGTACTAATAGACTTGAGTTGTCTGAATTTCTTATATGAAGCCTGGGACATTATTGTTCATTTTTTACTAGTATTTCTTTCATTTTATTTCTCTTGCTTTTCCACCAAGTAGTAATAGTCTTAAGTTGTGTGAATTTCTTCTATGAAGCCTGGGAATTTATTATTCATTTTTGACTAGTATTTCTTTCATCTTATTTCTCTTGCTTTTTCACCAAGTATTAATCGTCTTAAGTTGTCTGAATTTCTTAGATGAAGCCTGAGAAGGTATTATTCATTTTTGACTAGTATTTCTTTCATCTTATTTCTCTTGCTTTTCCACCAAGTAGTAATAGTCTTCAGTTGTCTGAATTTTTTATATGAAGCCTGGGAAATTATTATTCATTTTTATTAGTGTTTCTTTCATCGTCTTTCTCTTGCATTTCCACCAAGTAGTAATTCTCTTGAGTAGACTGAATTTCTTATATGAAGCCTGGGAAATTTTTATTCATTTTTGACTAGTGATTTTTCATCTTATTTCTCTTGCTTTTCCACCAAGTAATAATAGTCTAAAGTTGTGTGAATTTTTTATATGAAGCCTGGGAAATTATTATTCATTTTTGACGAATATTTCTTTCATATTATTTCTCTTGCTTTTCCACCAAATAGAAATAATCTTAAATTGTGTGAATTTCTTCTATAAAGCCTGAGAAATTATTATTCATTTTTTACTAGTATTTCTTTCATCTTATTTCCCAGCTTTTCCACCAAGTAGTAATAGTCTTAAGTTGTCTGAATTTCTTAGATGAAGCCTGGGTAATTATTATTCATTTTCGACTAGTATTTCTTTCATTTTATTTCTCTTGTTTTTCTACCAAGTATTAATAGTCATAAGTTGTCTGAATTTCTTAGATGAAGCCTGGGAAATTATTATTCATTTTCGACTAGTATTTCTTTGATCTTATTTCTTTTGCTTTTCCACCAAAAGTAATAGTCTTGAATTGTCGGAATTTCATATATGAAGCTTGGGAAATTATTATTCATTATTGACTAGTATTTCTTTCATCTTAATTATCTTGCTTTTCCAATAGGTTGTAATAGTCTTCAATTGTCTGAATTTCTTAGATGAAGCCTCGGAAATTATTATTCATTTTTCACTGGTATTTCTTTTATCTTATTTCTCTTGCTTTTCCACCAAGTAATAATAGTCTTTAGATGTCTGAATTTCATATATGAAGCCTGGGAAATTATTATTCATTCTTTACTAGAATTTCTTTCATCTTTATCTTGCTTTTCCACCAAGTAGTAATATTCTTAAGTTTTCTGAAATTCTTAGATGAGGCCTGGGAAATTATTTTTCATTTTTGACTAGTAATTTTTTCATCTTATTTCTTTTGCTTTTCCACCAAGTAGTAATAATCTTAAGTTGTCTGAATTTCTTAGATGAAACCTGGGAAATTATTATTCATTTTTGACTAGTATTTCTTTCATCTTATTTCTCTTGCTTTTCCACGAAGTACTAATAGAGTTGAGTTGTCTGAATTTCTTACATGAAGCCTTGGCAATTATTATTCATTTTTGACTAGTATTTCTTTCATCGTATTATATGTATAATGGAAATGCATTGCTAATGATTTTACTATAGGAATGCATTGCCAATGAGGAAGAAAGAGATTGTCAGTTGTCAGGAATTAATGCAAGCATTACTGATAGAATAGGGCTATTATACGTCTAATGGGGATGCATTGCTAATGTTTAATATAGGAATTTATTGCAAATGAGGAAGAAAGAAATTGTCACTGGAGAAAAATTATCAAAGGAAGAAAATAAAATGTAAATGTAGAAGATGAAGAAGAAGAAGAAGAAGAAGAAGAAAAGAAGATGCCAATTGAAGATATGCGGATACCATAATAGTATTCTGTGCAGAAGGTGTCTTTAATAAATTAAGTAAAGTATTAAGAGATAGGAAAATTTCATAACAAATTAAAGGAAAGGGAAAGCATATTTAGTATCCAGTTGCCGAGATGTCAGTGAATGCTAGACAATCTCGTTCCTCTTAAATGAAAAAAAAAAAAGATTCTTGAAATTTTTTGCAACCTTTCGAAAAAAAGTAAGCTTGAAGGAAACTTTTGCTCACAAATCAAAAATAAAAAGCTGTAAATTTATAGGAAAGAAGCCTTGGGAAAGTTAACACTTCCTAGGCAATATAATCTGGAGAAAAACGGCCCGACACCTACTTGACCAGACTGAAATAAATTATTGAATATTCATTCATTTTTTTACGGTTTATCAACCCTTTGCAGGTTCTTTAAAGCCAGAATTTTTCTTTTAGATAATAATGTTTTATTGATACAAGTCTCACTAATTAACCCATAGATGGGGTGTGTAGATGTAGATTCATACCTAAACAAAATTTGGTGATCAAAGAACAAATTATGATGTAGATATAAAGTGGGGGTTCAATTCTATATTACAATCAGCATATAATTCGACCACTCATTTGTGACCATGCTAGTTTCTAAATATTTATATTCCAGAGAATTTCAATAAATCTAAAACATATGCCTATTGATTTATTCGTTTTCTACGGTTTATCAACCCTTTGCAGGTTATTTAAAGCCGTAAAATGTTTTTTAGATTGTAAGAATTTGGGGGGGGGATTTAATGATACAAGTCTTACTAATTAACCCATAGATGCGGGAGAAGTGGTGCCAAAAGGACGTTTATTACTGTATTCACTTTTGACTCCCTCGCCAACCGTATATTGTTTTTAAAAAATTATGAGGATAATTTTAATATTGGCCCTGCTCTGGCATCTCGTCTACAGACACTTTCTCACAGACGCGCCGTCGCCTCCCTCTGCCTGTTCTATAAATACTTTCATGGAAATTGCTCTGAGGAGCTGCATTCGCTGGTTCCCAGACTTCATGAGTTCAAGCGCCCAACGGGGCTGGCATCCTGCTCTCACCCCTTCACTGTCGAAACTCCTAAATGTAGCCGTCTCTTCTACTTCAATAGCTTCATGTCTCGCACCTCTCGCCTGTGGAACTTTCTTCCCTATTCCAGTTTCCCTGAGAGATATAATCTCCAGCTATTCAAGTGTAATGTCAATCGACATCTCCAGTTGCCTTGATCTATCCATTATCCTTCTCCTCATCCTTTCTTCTATCACTCCTATCTGATCTTGCTCCAAATTTTCTGTAACCCCTTGCGTCCTAGTGGCTTCCCGCCTTGCTTGGGGTAAAACGCTTAAAAAAATGATATATGTAAGTGAATTTATACACTTTCTTTATTCTTGAGAACATGACAGCAAAGATGTTAAACACTGTTTATTTATTAACTGATTTTTTTAAAAATTGTTTTCATGTCAATTATGTGTCATGCGTGATACACGCTTAGGCGATCATTTTTCTTTCGATACATGACTAACGAGTCAGATATTTCCCGTAGTAGGTTGCTGCGGTAGACCAGTTGCCATCCAAGGCTATAGAACCCGGTTTGTCCTGCTATTTACCCATAGCTGGGAGGAGAAGAGTATTAATACCTTTGCTAGGGTTCAGTCAGTTATGTGCCACGTATGATACACGCTTAGGCGATCATGACTGACAAGGCAGATTTTTCCCCCAGTAGGTTGCCATTTCTATCCTCGGTAGATCAGTTGCCATCCAACGCTATAGAACCCGGTTTGTGCTGCTATTTACCCATAGCGAGGGAGAAGAAGAGGATTCATACCTTTCCCAAGGGTATTAGCACATAAGGAAATGTAATGGATTCGACTGGAATTCGAACTCGGCTCTCCGGTTCCACAATTCGAGCAGGAAATGGTAAATAATAAACATTTCACTATCCTTCGTTCTTGGATTTATAATCTTGTAAATAAATATTCATCATCATCATTCTTCGACCTATGGTTGATCGGAACTCCATTTGCAATCGCTTACCTCACTGTTCGGTCATGTATTGCTGTCGCCGGATCTCCATTGTCCAAACCTGTCTCCCAAGTTATAATGTCTGGGAAAGTCAATTGTTGTAAGAAGACACTTCCAGAAGGATGCCATAAGAGTAAGGATGAGTTGATTCTGATGTCCGCTAGTTGACAGTGGCCGGCAAAGTGTAATCATTTTTAAATGGCCAGTTAAATTTCATCATCATCCTTCTCCGACCTCCCTATATTTGGCCGGAAATCCAATGATAATCCCTTTCCGAACTGTTCGGTCTTGCTTTCTTGTTCCCAGTTACCCTATATCCAATCCTGTGTCCCAATCTATGGTGTCTTGGAGAGTCAATTTTCCTGAGAAGACACTTCCAGAAGCATGCCATATCATCCTTCGACCTCCCTATGGTTGGCCGGAACTCCATTAACATTCCCTTTCCACACTGTTCAATTCTGCATTGCTGCCTCCAGATCCTCAATATCCAGCCCCGAATTCCGAGCTATGGTGTCTAGAACATCCAGTTTTCGTGAGATGACACTTCTAGAGGGATGCCATAGGAGTAAGGATGAGACAATTTCAATGTCCGCTCCGTGGCAGAGACCGGCATAAAAAGGGTATACAATAGTAGCGGCGTCAAAGAAATAACCTCTCCGTTTGATACACTCTTTCTTTACAGGGACGAAGAGTAAACTATACTATCAAAAATGGTATAGATGATTGCATGTATTAAACAGCTTTATTGATTCGCTTTATTGGCCACTTACAGGCCACTAGAAGTGAGAAAGTATATTAGATGTTTTTTTAATGCTAATTTAGTTATACAAGTTTTACTAATTAACCCATAGATAGGGAGAATAGAGATGGATTCATACCGTAAGTGAATATAACGAATTGAACTGGAATTGGAATAACCTAGCACCTAATATTTGGCTAACAGTATTTAGTATTCCCAAGCGGTCATTCATCAAGGTATTGACCAGACTCGACGTTGCTTAACTTCGGTGAGAGTACGTTAAGCGGTGTTTCAATGTGATATGACTGTAGACCATACTACGCGCACGTCCAAGCTTACAGAACCTGGTATTCTCTAACGATTACCCATCTAGGTACTGACCAGGCTCGATGTTGCTTAACTTCGGTGATCGTACGTAAACCATACTACACACATATCCAAGTTGGCAGCATCTGGTATTCTCTAGCGATTACCCATCTAGGGACTGACCAGGCTCGACGTTGCTTAACTTCATTTATCGTACGGGTGTTTCAACGTGATATGGCCAGAAGCATTTTATTGAATAAGAATAACTATAGTCTGGAATAGACAAAGAGTTAGATAAAGCAATAAAAGAAGAAGTTGTGGAGAGCCATAAACGTTCACGCCCTAAAAGGGTGCACCATATGAAAGAATAAAAATTAGGTTCGTTAGTAAATAAGGTCTATGCCTACGTTTGTTTGTGTGTGTCTTCCTGCTTATCTGTCTTCCCGTCTGTCTGTCTGCGCGTGCGCACACTCACGCATGCGCGTGAATGAAAGGACGTATGTAAGGGAAGGACGCGTTGCCTTAGTAGCTAACGCAACGTTCTTCCTTTTAAGGAAAGCACTTGTATGGCGTGACTTATGATCGAAAAGCGAGACAAAACGCGAGAACAGAAGCCAGCGTATTGAATCATCTCGAGTCGAGTAATCGATATGGATGGTGATGGCGATGAACGGGTGGGGGGTATTCCGGTTCTTTGAGAGACGTTGATTGACAATGTTCGGAGGAGTGGGGTCTGGTCTCCTCGACGTGGGAGATGAAATACAGGGAGCGAAAGGATTAAAAATAACGAGCGAAGATCAGGGCTGGGAAAATAAGTGAAAAAATATTGTAAGAAAGAAAGAAAGAAAGAAAGAAAGAAAGAAAGAAAGAAAGAAAGAAAGAAAGTTTGAAAAAAGAAAAAGAAAGAAAGATTAATGATTGAAAAAAGAAAATGAGAGTCATAAAGATTGAAAGAAGGAAAGAAAGAAAGCATTTTGGAATGAAAGGAAGAGGGGAAGTGACTGAAAAGAAGGAGAAAGAAAGAAAGAAAGAAAGAAAGAAAGAAAGAAAGAAAGAAAGAAAGAAAGAAGGAAAGAAGCATTTTGGAAATGAAAGGAAGAGAGAGGAAGTGACTGAAAAGAAGGAGAAAGAAAGAAAGAAAGAAAGAAAGAAAGATTGAAGAAAGAAAGAAAGAAAGAAAGAAGCATTTTGGAAATGAAAGGAAGAGAGGAAGTGACTGAAAAGAAGGAAAATGAAAAAATGAAAGAAAGAAAGAAAAAAAGAAAAAGAAAGAGAGAGAGAAAGAAAGATTGATAGAAAAAGAGAGAAATAAAGATTGAAAGAAAGAAAAAAGAAAGAAAGAAAGATTGAAAAAAGAAAGGTTGAAAGAATGAAAGAAAAAAGAAAAAAGAAAGAAAGAAAGAGAGAAAGAAAGAATGCAAAAGAAAGAGCGAGAGAAAGAAAGAAAGAAAGATTGATAGAAAAATAGAGAAAGAATGACTGAAAAAAGAAAAAAAAGAGAAATAAAAATTGAAAGAAAGAAACAAATAAACAAAGATTGAAAGAAAGAAAAATTGATAAAAGAAAGAAAAAGAAAGAAAAAAAGAAAGAAACGATGAAAAGAGAGGATTTTTGAAGAGGAACAAGAGATTAATATGTCAAAGAAAGAAAGCGAAATAGTAAAAATGAAGGAAAAATAAAATGAAAAACGAAATCTCCAGAGCAAGAACAAGGAAAAAAAAGTCTAACAAAAGAAAGGATGAATTCTTTAAAAAAAAATCATTTCGCCCCAAGCATGGCCATAAACCGACTCAAACACATGGGGTTCCCATCACCTCTCACTCACTCAGCTTTACTCTTTACTTTCACTCTCTCTCTCCCCCCTCTCTCTATCTCATGTTATCCTCTCTTTCTTTTCGCACTTTGACCTTTTTCCACTTTACACTCCATCTCCCTGTCTAATACTATCTGATTGTCTCCCGAAACACTTTCCCTTTCTCTCCTCTTCTTTTCTTTCTCCATCGCCTCTCACGCAACCTCTCCCTCTTTCTCATTTCTTCTTTTCTTTCTTCTTTTTACCCTCCTTTACTCTTTCTCTTCCTTACTCCCTATCTCATTGAATTTTCCCTCAAAACACTTTCCATTCCAGGAGAGAGTACAATAACAAAAAAAAAAAAATTAAGAATTAAGCAGGCGGAAGATGACGGTTTACACTACATTTGTAGCAAGAAGCCAGGAAAAAAGTTCCACAAGCAAAAAGTGTGAGAGAAGAAACTGTTAGCATAGAACTTACGGTTACATCTAGACATTTAACCTGTAAAATGATGAGATCTTGTCACCAATCTGGTACTATGATTAAATTCATAAACTCTAGGTAACATATATGGAAATAATATTTATTTTGTAAAATACAAAAATGTGGCCAATGGCCAAAAGGGGATTAGATGAGGGCCGGTCTTCATTTTTCTTATAATTAAATGATTGACCCAAAGATCCCACTGTAATCCTTACACCAAAACAAAACAGTCTTACTACAATCCCCACAATACCTCAGAGTCTCTATGAAGTCCTAATTAGTCCCCGTATGTACAATTTGTCTGAGTGGGAAGAATAAAATAACTACTATAAAAAAATGTAACCCCAATGAATAATGGTTACAACAGAGAAAATTCCATCAGAACAATTGCCATGAAAGTACTTATAGAAAAGGCACAGGTAAGCAACGTTACGGCAGGCGGAAAATGAGTTAAGCCGAGATGCCAGATCAGGACCAATATTATTGCTGATTCTTTTTTGGACTTTATCAAGAATCTCTAAATATATAGCAGGAACACCCACAATATTCAAAGCAAGGATGAATGGTAAATTTATAAATATATACGATCTGGCGAGAAAACTTGTCTCGGAAGACTGCTTGCTAACTAAAGTTAGAGAATCCAGTCTGCTCTGCTATTTAACCCTTAGCTATGGGGAAAAGATATGGATTCATATCTCCTGAATTCTAAAGTAATGCCTTAGGCTGAAATTTGGACGATATGCTGTCATGTAACCCTCCCCCATGCACACGTTCAACAAGCACAACGTTATGCACACTTATAATAATAATAACAATAATAATAATAATAACGGGATTTAAATAATCCGAGAGGGTACAAACTTTTATTAGGGCTTTTAAAACGGGCATTTTAAAAAGTATATATAGATATATACCAAAATATACAAAACAAAGCGGAGGAAGAATAAGTCATGAAATATCTTTTTTCTATTGCCGAGTACCTTCAGGACGTGGACGATCACAGTTCTCCACAACATCCTGCCCCTTGTTTGCTAACTATTTAAACAATCTCGGGAGATAGTTTTTCTCTGTCCCACTTGCCTTCAACCTTTATCAAATTTTCCAAACTGCTTTTCTAGAAAATTCAACCGTTTCTTTCTGATTCTAAGTGTTTCCATGGTATTCTCAGCATCCTTCTGTAGAACCATATTTCTATTGTCTAAAATCACTTCATCTATGTGGAGATTTTAATTTTTGGTGGAGGTGTTATATTTATATTTGTTACGGAGAGCAAAGTTTTCATCCTTGCTCTCCCTAGCTCTTTGTTTTATATATTTTTGTATATATTTATATTTTTATCAATTTCAACGTTATTTTTAGTGGATACCCATATCAGAGTAGACGCCCCGTTTATTATTAAACAGCCTATTCATTTGCTATCGTCTACCGGGCTGAATATACGAGAAATCTTATTCAAGAAATATATCATGGCAAGCGTTTCTTTTTCTCTGATAAGATTTCTCGAATATTCAGTCCGGCCGGTTGGTTGGTTGATTTTGCTTAACGGCACATCAACACCTCTATGAGTTATTTACTGCCGAAATCTAAATATACTGCACAATTTTATGACTTCTGCTAAATATTTTTGAACGGAGTTGTATTCCTTCAACAAAATACATTGTTGGTCATTTTGCTATAAAATGTAATTTTGATAATCTTATATATAAAGTCAGTGTGTGTGTTTGAGTATGTGTGTGTCCAAGCAACTCCTCCGCTCCCACTGGTCCGATTTCAATCATTCATACCTCATTCAAAAGCCCTAGAAAAATTAGTCACAGGGAATGATTTTCGTTGACCTCAGATTCAGGATTGCCAGCTTATGTGAGGTTAATATATATATATTAATATATTATACTAGCCATTATCTTTGCTTTCATGTTTCAAGGAGAGTAACTCTTATTTTCCTTTTGTATCCAAAATTGCAACTAGCTTAAAAGCTAGCTCCTATTGAGGACTCTTGGTTTGGTCATCTTCATAATAGCTAGTGTTGGGAGTAGATGCGATAGGCATCAATAAACTACAGAAGAACTCAAAATTGATCCCTGCATTTATTTGTATTATTGAATTAATGTTTAAGCTTCTCTTTTAAAGTTCAACAATAATTCTTCTGCTGCCACTTAATTTAAAGATGATTTGATATACGTAGATCCTTATTTTCCGTACAAACAATTATTTTTATTTCATCAGTGACAGAACAAGGGACAATTTATAAGATAAAATTAATATGGTGTAAAGATGGTGATATGTCCCGGAAAGGGATATATTTGTTCGAAGTAGCAACGTAGTTTTTGGACTACTGCAACCGAGTAGGACATACTAGCAGGTAACCGTAATGGACTGGTCCTCGTCGTAGTGGTAGCCAATAGGCGTCATCCCTGTACCTCTACATCAGTCTGTATTTATGGCTGATACCAGCCAATCATTTTACTGTGAGGGGGAGGCCAGGTGTATGCATATTCATTACATCAGATGGGAAAATAGAAATTAGAATTAGTTATACATTCAACATTTGAAGAGTTAGAGAAACATAATTGCTAATTAAGTAAAAACTTATATTATGGAATCTATATGAATAAAAGCGAAACGGGAACGCAATTCTCCCAAGAATTCTGAGATTAAAAAGCGTAAAAGAATTATGAGATTAAAAATCTTGAATGTATAATTTCTAGTTTTGCTTGTTGAGGCTTTTCTGGAATATTTTGTTTTCAAATACTTTCTTGCTGCCCTTGGCTGAATCCGCAGATGTAAAAAAAACCCGCGGATACAGAAAACCGACTGCGTTGCTCTACATTTTACTCGCGGAGCTGTAGACATCAAAAGCACTAAGCTACACCAAATGATAGCATCAGAAAATTTTGAACTGATAAGCATGTATCGATAAGTCAAATCTATGAACATGTTAAGCAAAGATCCTCCCCTCCGCTAGCAATTGCAATTTTGTGTTTACGTATGACTTAAGTAGGCAACATTTTGTGCCTAAACTCCACGGTCATAAAACCCGAACAGTGCATGACGAATAAATAAAAGTTCAAAGATAAAAAAAAGAAGATAGATGCAAACATGTGGAACACGGGAAACATTATTTAAACTTGATGGAATCTGCAACGAGGTGAATTGGGACAAAGCAGACGACTCATATGGAAAAGCAAAACAAAATGAAAACCGTCTCTCATAAACTCAGATCTACTCTCTCCACTGGAAGTCGACGCAAATCAATTATAAAATATTCGAATAAGGAAAAAATACACCAAGATGATATATGAGGTTTGGATTACTTTGCAAGTCACTGCCTGCTCGTAAACCGAAATATGTCGGTTGACAGAGCAGCCGGAAGCGGAAGCGAATGCCAGAGTATCAAAAGCAATGACGATTTCTGTTTGCTATAGGTTATAGCCAATAAGCTTAAGGATATGGTCAGCTTATGCAACGTCGTGTTATTCAAATCTCTCTGAATAAGTGACAAAGTTTCCTTTCTTCAAATCATCTGAAAGGACAAGGTTTTCTCCCTTGAAAACGTTTGGCTAGAACAAAGAAAAAAGGTTTCCATTATTTCAAATCGCCTTCGTCAAACAAGATAAAAAGTTTCTTTATTTCACATCGTCTTAAACAAATTAGCGAGACGGTTTATTCAATTGAAATTGTTTGGATGGAACAAAGAGAACAGTTTTCAAATCGGCCCTGTCTGACAAAGTAAAATTATTCCTTATTTCAAATTGTGTTAGACAAATAAAGGACAAGGGTTCCTCACTTAAAATCTTTTGGGTAGAACAAAGAAGAAAGGTTTCCATTATTTCATATCCACTTCGAGGAACAAGGTAAATTTGATGATTTTTTGGCAATACGCCCTCAAAAGTTTGAGGCAGTTTTCATCGACATTTCTTTTCATGGTTAGCTATAAGTAATTGTAAATGTAGGACTACCTTACACTTAATTAACATAATAACAATAAGAAGATTTTATTACAGGAAATATCAAGTTTTTCAGAAATATTGACAATTATATATTTAGTTACATAACAAATAAATAAAAATAATATAAATTTTGATGCTATATTCGATTTGTTGTTATTTTTCATTTTCTCCTTTGTTATTGGCAATATTTTAGAATACTTTGGCTGCAATGCTAAGTTTCCTAAGTTGAACAAACTGGAGCTATTTCATTTACACTTTGATAGCTCTCTGTTTCATTGTTTTTAGATCGCTTGCTTCCAGTTATTTTGATGGGCAACAGCGAAATTCGAAAATTTAGCAATGTGGTGTTCGTAAATCTTCTCTTAGGAATAGACTCATTACAATTAATGAATAAGCCACCGAGTGTATTATTTAGTAAAAGACCCCTTCTGTGTTCATATATTCTTCCGTATAAGTGGATGGATATCACATAGCAATCCAGCCCCCTTTTCTTTGTTTCTTTCCATTTCTCAGCTGCTTGTTTACCTTTTGGAATGATTCTTTTGCTAGTCCAATGGCTGGTCGGATCTGGCAGCCTTTTTCTATTTTGTTTGGTTGAGCAGAAGCCTAAAGGAATGTGGTGTTCCTAAATGTTCTCTTAGGAATAGACTCCTTACAATTAATGAATAAGCCACCGAGTGTATTATTTAGTAAAAGACCCCTTCTGTGTTCATATATTCTTCCATATAAGTGGATGGATATCACATAGCAATCCATCAATCTTTTCTTTGTCTCTAACGAATTTTCTTCTGCTGATTTTACTTAATATTCTTTTATAGGTTAGGATATTAAACCGGTTAAAATAATTATCCAAATATCATTCTGTTTTCTTCTTTATATTTGGTAGAAATAGCAAGTATTACCTCTTTAGTGTAACAGAAAACGAAAGAAAATTTAGAAAACTGATGCCGTAAATACGTTTGATAACCTGTACCACATAAAAGATACACTGCTTACTAAAACCGTTGGAATTGTTCACTTTTGACATTTGACCTTAAACATATTCAAGAGTTCGATTCGTTATATTCGTTTCCATTGTGAACACGTGTAAGCCAAGCCAGAGCGGGGATATCAACCACAAACATACGACAACTTGACACTAACATTCGGCGATTGCGAGCCCATAAGGATGTCAAATACAATCAAATGTTCCTAACAATACTTACAAATGTAAAATAAAATAAAAATTATCATTAAACGAAATTAGAATAATATTATTCTATGTTTAAAATCATTTTAGTGAGCAACTACACACAAATCCGGTAGATTGCACATTTTATCGAACGAAACAGGTTAATGAGTCTGCGCAATAGGCACAATATAGGTATTTCCGTTTCCTTTTAGAATCATAATGATCGAAGATTCTTATAAATATCTTCAATTAAAGTTTGAATAAGAATAGGAAACGCTGGCCGAAATGAAATTAGAGAGGTAGAATTTATAGGGTTTGATTACCAAACAAGGAGTGCGTATTATGCATGAGTAGAAGCATTTTCACACTTTCACCACAATTTTACGTATGCGTATTATAGATGAAGGCATATTATATATGGGGAATTACTAGATAGATAGATAGATAGATAGATAGATAGATAGATAGAGTGTGTGAGAGAGAGAGAAAGAGAAGGTAAAATTATTTCAGCCGACGCATTTCGCCCTATGGGGTACTTTATTAAGGTAAACGTAAGGATTTTATTTTGTGACAAGTATATATATATATATATATATATATATATATATATATATATATATATATACAAGTAGTGCAAAAATCTTATTGTTTTTTTCAAAAGTTTTTTAGTGTAGGAATGTTCATGAATATCGACAGTGTTAGGGAGCATCATGGACGTGAGGTGATACAGTTCAATGTCCAGTAGATTTATATATATATATATATATATATATATATATATATATTTTGTGTGCGTGTGTGTGTGTGTGTGTGTGTGTAACAAAAATCTTGGTAATCCGTATGGATAATCCCAAGGAGGATGAAATCCAGAGAGCTCAATGTTAAATCAGAGCGAATAATTTAATTTAAAGAAAAAACAGACCACTTTAAGGTTCCATTGTAATAATTTATTTCACCAGAGAATTTTATTTTCTCTGGATCTTCAGACTTCACTTTCAAAAGGTGAAACGAAAATGAATTCAAAATTTACACTTTTGACGGGCAGCATTAAGCTTATATAAGTTGACATAGAGGGTGGTGAGGAATAGTGTGAGAGACATGGTTGAGTTTAGAGAGGGAAGGGAGAATTTTAAAATTTATTTTTATATTTCTTTTTATTATAATATTTTATATATATATATATATATATATATATATATATATATATATATATATATTGAATAACATAAGGTTAGGAATTTAACCGTATTCTTTTAATTTCTTTTCATTTTTGTCGTTATGTATCTTGCCTTCGAATTGTAGTAATTCTTTCAGGAAAGGAAACATTTGAAAGAATTCTGAATATGGATTTATATTTTGATAAGATTTGATAGCCCCACTTTAGAGAGTTTTTCTTCTAAATTACCTTATTTTTAATAAGTCTGTACATCAGAGTTCTGTTTGAATTTATTTGATAAATTGTTGTTAATGTGACCCTTTCTGTGTTCACGGATATGTTTTTTTTATTTCTGCAAGTTTCACCAATATATTTTGAGGAACTGTTCTGGCAATCTATTTTATATATGGTATGCAAGTATACAATACACACATAGACATACAGACACACATACAGATATCTCTGTGTGAGATGATAAGTAATGTGTATTTCTGTATATCAGGACAATTCATATCAAAACAGAGGTATTCTCACTACCAAGCAGACCCCACATCCATTCTTGATAATTACTACGAAAGTCGAAAGAATGAAAATGAATAAATGAACTTCGGACAGTTTTAACTTTGAGCACGATACTCAACACCTTAACAACAAGTGGGAAAAGACAATAAGAAATAAACATATATATATATATGTATGTATATAAACAAAAATTTGATAGTACATAATTTATATATGGATTTGAAACTGGATAAACTGTCCAAAGTTCATATTTTGTTATTACGTTATTTGTTAATGACAAAATATGACAGTATATTGACCACTTCGAACACAATTCACACCTTTTCCGAAAATTAGAAAAATATAACAAAAATTTAAAGAGATCCTGATACTTTTTAATTTACCTCACTCTCTCTATCTCTCTCTCTCTCATCCTCTCTCTCTCTCTCTATCCCCTCTCTCTATCCCCTCTCTCTCTATCCCTCTCTCTCTCTCTCATTCATATATATATTATATATATATATATATATATATATATATATATATATATATATATATATTTCTTCCTTTATAGGAGGACTGATATTACGTAACAGTTCAGTACTCTTTTCTTTGTTTCTCTTGTTTCAAGTCTCTTCTTCATCTGTGAGGAGATTGTCCAGCATTCACTGCCATATAGGAGGACTGATATTACGTAACAGTTCAGTACTCTTTTCTTTGTTTCTCTTGTTTCAAGTCTCTTCTTCATCTGTGAAGAGATTGTCCAGTATTCACTGCCATATAGGAGGACTGATATTACGTAACAGTTCAATACTCTTTTCTTTGTTTCTCTTGTTTCAAGTCTCTTCTTCATCTGCGAGGAGATTGTCCAGCATTCACTGCCATATAGGAGGACTGATATTACGTAACAGTTCAGTACACTTTTCTTTGTTTCTCTTGTTTCAAGTCTCTTCTTCATCTGTGGGGAGATTGTCCAGCATTCATTGCCATATAGGAGGACTGATATTACGTAACAGTTCAGTACTCTTTTCTTTGTTTCTCTTGTTTCAAGTCTCTTCTTCATCTGTGAGGAGATTGTCCAGCATTCACTGCCATATAGGAGGACTGATATTACGTAACAGTTCAATACTCTTTTCTTTGTTTCTCTTGTTTCAAGTCTCTTCTTCATCTGTGGGGAGATTGTCCAGCATTCACTGCCATATAGGAGGACTGATATTACGTAACAGTTCAGTACTCTTTTCTTTGTTTCTCTTGTTTCAAGTCTCTTCTTCATCTGTGAGGAGATTGTCCAGCATTCACTGCCATATAGGAGGACTGATATTACGTAACAGTTCAGTACTCTTTTCTTTGTTTCTCTTGTTTCAAGTCTCTTCTTCATCTGTGAGGAGATTGTCCAGCATTCACTGCCATATAGGAGGACTGATATTACGTAACAGTTCAGTACTCTTTTCTTTGTTTTTCTTTTGTTTCAAATCTCTTCTTCATCTGTGAGGAGATTGTCCAGCATTCACTGCCATATAGGAGGACTGATATTACGTAACAGTTCAGTACTCTTTTCTTTGTTTCTCTTGTTTCAAGTCTCTTCTTCATCTGTGAGGAGATTGTCCAGCATTCACTGCCATATAGGAGGACTGATATTACGTAACAGTTCAATACTCTTTTCTTTGTTTCTCTTGTTTCAAGTCTCTTCTTCATCTGTGAGGAGATTGTCCAGTATTCACTGCCATATAGGAGGACTGATATTACGTAACAGTTCAGTACTCTTTTCTTTGTTTCTCTTGTTTCAAGTCTCTTCTTCATCTGTGGAGAGATTATCCAGCATTCACTGCCATATAGGAAGACTGATATTACGCAACAGTTCAGTACTCTTTTATTTGTTTCTAATGTTTCAAGTCTCTTCTTCATCTGTGTGGAGATTGTCTAGCATTCGCTGTCATATAGGAGGACTGATATTACGTAACAGTTCAGTACACATTTCTTTGTTTTAACGATTTTTTTTCTATTTCTTAATAGTTAATTTTCCATCCCAACACATCTTCGGATTTCAGTGTCACACATTCCGTCCTCTATTAAAACACTTTCCAGATATTTCAATTTTTTTATATTTGATTTTGGTATCTTCAATCTGTAATCTGCATAAGAAATTAACAACGATTCCTTCCGTCTTCCTGCAGTTGATGTTTACTCTTTTCTTCACGTTAAACTTCATGACCTTTTTTGGGAGATCTTGTAGTTTTCTTTCCGCATCTGCTATCAACATTCTGTCATTTTTATGTCTTGTGCCGTTAAGATTGTGTTCGCGAATAAGGAGCTAGATTCTTACCGGCTCTTAAATTCTTCGACCTGGTCAAATTGAGGTTTCTCCCTACGGTTTAGAGATACGACACTTTCATTAGTCCATGACCTTGTTCGAAGCACCGCTGCCATCTGCTCACTCTCAGGGTGTTCAACAGTTAACCTGGGAGATCATTTAGATACAGCAGCAACAAAATGGATAGCTTCATCTCTTACTTTGTAGATTTTTGAAATTCTCCTTGAAATGTCTTGGTGCTCTTGCATTTAACTTGTTCTGATTCCAAGATACCAAAGAACTTATCAAGATCCATTCATGTTTCCTATTGTGTACAGGTGGGTTGTCAGGTCGCCTGCTCTCCAATACACACACACACAGACACACACACAGATATATATATATATATATATATATATATATATATATATATATATATATATATATATATACCCACAGAGCCCACTGTATACATTTATATTCTCTAATATATATCTTAATTTAAAAATTGATTTTGTATATATATATATATATAAGCAGGAATATCTGATTTATACATGTTTCATTAAAGACGATTGTCAAGGTGCTGTGCTCGAAGACGTGCTTTCTTTTTGGGACACCGTGTGGACAGTTTCTACACACTCTGTAACCAAAAAAGAAAGCACCCACACATCCAATTAAACTGAAAAAATAAAATCTTTCTTGGTAATGGTTAAAAGTATAGCCGAAAGCGCAGTGAATTAGAGAACATTTGGACAGTTTCTACACATTTTGTGCCCCAAAAAGACGGCTCTTGTGCGAACACAAAAAAAAATTAAATAAAATCTTAATCACAGTACCTTGTCTGTCGTCTTTAATGAAACATATTTCTCTCTCTATCTCTCTATCTCTCTCTCTCTCTCTCTCTCTCTCATATATATATATATATATATATATATATATATATATATATATATATAATTTTTTTTAGTTCACTGCTATTGACAAGCAAATATTTTTCTCCTGATGATGACCATGCTGGCTGAAACTAGTCGAGGAATTTAATTGTGTTTGAAGATTTTAATTTTTTAATATTTTTATTGTTCAAAAAAAAAATATATATATATATATATATATATATATATATATATATATATATATATATATATTAAAAGTTAACTTTTAAACATCAATTTCTTTCCGACATCGATGTTTCTTGATAAAATTTCGAGTCTTCAGGGGTTGTAAATTTAAACGGGATTTCGAATTTTTTTTCAATTTCTTTACTTTCTATCACGTCTTTTTCAATCGGCTTTTTTTTAATAAGACTTGGAACAAAGTGAAAAAAACACATGAATTAGTTGTTATTATTAACATAAAGATGCTCTTTATTTAATGGTAGCATATTTTTGCCAAAATAGTTCTGTATTTTCGATCCGTTTTTTTTTTCTATTTCGAAAGTTATTTACCAGTTTCTTAAAGGCGCCTTTTATTTAGCAACTACAACATTTTATGAAAGAAGCTGAACAACCATGCAACTAGTTAGCATTATGTTAAATTACCTCCCTACCTCTTTCGTTTTTAATTCCTAGGAAAGTTGAACGCCAGA